CATTGGAGTTAACATGTTAATAGAATCCTTAACTTACAAAACATTACGTACTCTACTCTGTTAGTCAGTTTTGTCTTCATGGAATGATTAACCTTTTAACCAAGACCAACAAACTTCATTTACAACATTAATTTAATTCATTACATTTAATCGCAGTACGCACAAGAGCACAACGCATGGACACAACACAGTAGATGTCTAGCCTTATAGACAATGTGAGCTTGAGCATTACTATTGGGTAGACTATAATGAAATTATGTATGAAAAAATATTTTAATGAAATTATATATAAAAATGAATTTTATAATATTTTAATATTAATTTTTAATTTTTTTTTTCATGCTAGCGTAATGAGTGTTTAATTTGGTCAACAAATGTTTCATTTTCATTTGGTGCTAGCTGTGTCAAACATTGGGGCACAAGCAAACAATTGATAAGCCCATTCAAATTCAGTCAGATTTAATTTATTTAAAATTTGTTTTTAGATTTCTTTTGTCACTAGATTCTGTCCCTCTGGGATGTAGTGGCTTCAACAGTTGACTTTTCAACGAGTAAATCAAAAGACATATCAAAAAACTTATTTTTGATTGATTAATTTTGATTTGCTTGAACCTTCCTTTCGTTATCCTTTATTCAGAGTAGGTTTGTTGCCATTTAGTCAATTAATTTAAAAACAGGTTTGTCTTGCCTGCAGTGAAATGACATTAGACTTGGCAACATCTTGTAAATTTATCCTTTGAGTATTAATGATCAATTTTGAAGGGCAAAATTTTGATGGAATTTCCTGCATTTATCTGGAAAAAAATATAAAAGAGTATAACAGAACGGGTGGATAGCTAGAGGTCAGCATAGCCCAAGTCCACAGTGCAATTCAATACCTTCCCGAGCGTAACGCAGCTGGGCATCTTCATGGCTTTTGAGACAAAGTGCCCACCACAACAGCGCAGTTCAGTCACAGGCCAGAGCACATACAGGCCAGAGCACAGCTGGCCGGCGCACAGCAGGCCCTACCGCAACAGCTACTCCTAACATAACATAACCTAACTTAACCTGCACCGCCTGTTGCGGTAGGGCCTGTTGTGCTCCGGCGCTGTGAAGCAGTGGCTGTGTTGTGCAAAGCAGATTTACTGTTAGCCGGAGTTACCCACAGCTCATTGATCTGAGGCTATGTGTAGATATTGCATGCTTATGGTTGGCGTTGGGCCCAGGGCCTGTTTACGAGTCAATTTTGTTACCCACGGCTGTGCTCCCTAACAAAACATTCAATTTGGTTGAAAGTTTGTTGTCCCATGGTGGTCTCAATACCCATCTGGTCTTGTGTTATACTCAATGCGCTCTACAAATCTATGCCTAGCTTTTTGAATTGCAAATTGTAGGCACTTCATATGGTATATATGATTTTTTGATTTGCTGTCTCAAGGCAGCAGAGATTCTATTTTCTAATTACTCATATTTATGACCCATTATCTTTCTTTCACCTTTACAACATGATGCTCTACTATAAAAGGAAGACCAATTTAGCCAACTATTCTCAAATTGAACCCCAGAATATCTTGGAGGAAATTAGGAATGACATATTACCCAGTAAACGTTATGTCGGCACCAAGACAGCAAGGTGAATCAACCTGGAATTCTTTATTTAGGAAGATTCTAGAAGCACATTCCTGAAGATGCGGAAGTAGCAATAGCTACACCCATTAAAGATAAACAAAAAAGGATGTTTGATCTGACATGTGCAGATGTGAGGAGAAGTGCAATCTGTGTTGCTGAGTGACAAAATGAAAATTGCCCATTCAACAAGCAAAAAAAAAAAAGGCTGGCAAGGATTGGCTGAAGAATTTTATGGAGTGGCACAATATGAGTATTTGCATTCCTCAATCAAGTTTGGCACGAGTTGTTAACTCTTGTCACTAGTAAAGTTTGTTGCCAAAGTTGATTTCAGCCAGCATCAATAAACCAAAAGTTTGAGTTTTTATGGCGTTGGCTGAAATCAGGAGTAAGTACAAATATTTTGCACCTAATATCTCAATTATAGACTAAACTGGAACAAATTTTTTTCTGGTCAAGTAAATACCATCAACCGGGGTAATAATGGACAGTTTTGAGCATATTTTGTTGAAATTCCTTATCATGAAACATTTCATAAACAAGATTGGGCTCATTTTTAAGCTCTTTGCGAGAGCTATCTTCTGGCATCTCCAAAAAATTCCATAATCTATTTGTAAGGTGCCAGACTCAAAATAAGTCTCACAAATTACCCATGGGAATGGAGTAATCCGGGACACTTGGAATAAAACTTAATTTTAAAACATTTGCAGCATGCAAAGTGGACTCATCCATTACTATCAGTACTCTGAAGTCCACCTCTTCCTCCTTTGTAGAGGATGTAGAATAAATGCTGTTTTCTGTGATTTTTACTTGCTTTTCCTTTATTGATTTGATATTACCATATCCATACATTACCATATTATTGAAGTGATCGACCAAAGTATTGGAAGGACTTGTTTTACGGTTTGGCCATTCGTTGATCCTTACTGAAGACAGCCGCTTGTGTTCTTGCTCTTGGAGAACTTCTCTCCTCTGCTCTGTTCTGCTGTTCTACTGTTCTACTTTAATAAAACTTTGAACTTGGACCAAGCCTAATGACCCAAACACCCAATTGGCCTAATGACCCAAACACCCAAGCCTAATGACCCAAACACCCAATAACTTAAAGTCTCGTTTCAAGTCGTATGAGATTTGTTTGGTTATCGTTCAGTTTATGTTTAGTATTGGTTTATTGGTCTGAATTAAATGGGAACAGTGCAGTCAGTCACTCAGTCACTACTAGACTACTAGTAAGTGCGATAGAAGGTAGAGTCTGGTAGATTAATAGGACATAAAACTAGTAGATCTATTGATAGTGTTGGGCACTGTGCTATCAGCTACCTATCTGTTATGGGACTCTTCAATGTTTGGGAGATCTGCATTTCTGAAGTGTTTTTGTATATTGAAGCCAGTTAAATGGTCAATATTTAGCTCATTACCTTGCTCCATACAAACTTTACAAAGCTAATGAATAGACTTATCAATAATTGTTTACCCAAAAATCCCTAAGTGGTAAACACCACCTTGGCCTGTTGGTCATTATTTAAGGTAATAAGTGCCCTTTTTGGCCATCCATTATGATCCATATACTGTTATTGTTAGTAGGCTAATTGCAAAATAAAAAATAACACCTCAAAAAGACAAAAAAGCTGAAAAAATCAAAAAAATCAAATAAATCAAAAAAATCATGAAAAAATAAAAAAAATCATTGATTTTTGATTTTTTCGATTTTTTTAAAAAAATCAAAAAAATCACCAACCCTGATGCAAAGTGGACTCATCCATTACTATCAGTACTCTGAAGTCCACCTCTTCCTCCTTTGTAGAGGATGTAGATGTAGAATAAATGCTGTTTTCTGTGATTTTTACTTGCTTTTCCTTTATTGATTTGATATTACCATATCCATACATTACCATATTATTGAAGTGACATTACCCTATCCATGAACATGCCATCAAGTATTTACAATGACCTTGTCCACTGCAAACTTCATAGCAGCAGCCATAAAGCATTTTTCTGTATCTGTAAGCCTATACATAGGATGGCTTATTATTTCACTCCATTTTAATTGGGTCAAGTGAATTCATTTTAACAATAAAAGATTGTAAAACATACCTGATACAGAAAGGAATATTTTAGTGACCACCATTATATTTTTTGGAGAAAAAATCATAGTTTAGGCTAATTACTTTTATTCCATGTTGCCCAGCGCACAATTTCATCTATGACATTCTATGCACGATTTTGATGCACGACCAATGATGCATTTATTTTTCGACAAGTGACATTTTTTTGCTGCGTGAGGTAAATGTAATCAAAATTCTTTTGCTGTTGATTGATTTTTTTGTTAACTGAAGCCTTTGCTAATATAGGTTCTACTGTAAACTTGTCTTTGGGGGTGTCCCTTATTACCCCAGGGGGGGTGTCCCTTATTTCCCCATCTTGCGGAAATGGCCGCCATTTTTTGGAGTGAGATACGTAAATTTTGTCAATCACAGTTATAAACCAACACCTGTGTGCAACTTTTATGTAAATAAATTTTTGCTGCCAATATTTCTTTTGATACAGAGCTTATCAGAGGTATTTTTCCAAAATCTCACTTTTCACACTTTTTCATGGATTTTTTAGTAGTAAATGTATGTTTTCTTAACTTGCTCTTTGCTACATAGAAAGTAAAAATGTTTATCTTTACACCACTATTTTTAGTTTTGCAATATTTTGATTAGTTAAGCTGCTACATTTCTACAAAATGTGGGACGACTGTCCCGATTTGCCCTGCCCGTCCCTTATTGTCCCATTTGACAGCATATTTTTTCTAGTCATGGATACATTTTTTCATGTCAAGGATGAATTTTTCATGGAAAGTACCTATATATTTTTCAAGTCAAGGATATATACTTCTATGTCAAGGAAATATTTTTTGATGTCAGTTGTAGTTTTTTTAGCTAAGAATATTTTTTTTGTCAAGTTAAGGATATGATTTTTCGAGTTGTTAATAAATGAATGAATGTAATATTTCTGATTAGATTTTTATTATTTTGAACTGTAAAGTGTTTTATCATCTATAAAACAAAATCTAATTCTCACCACAGATTCCTCACTAGTTGTATCTTTAAACAAAATAAAGAAGTGCCTCGTATCAATTAAATTATTAAAACTTCATCAAAAATTTAGTTAAAAAAAGTGGGGGGTCCACTGCCCCATGTTACCCTATTCAACCTAATTGCATGGCAGTTACTAAAAATGAACCTTTGCTTATTTTTGAAGCTGTTTTTTTATGAAGGAGAAGATAAATGTTAGAATATAAGCGTGATTACATAAGAAGTTAGTTGGCTCATCGCAATTCTACCATGAATTAGCTATTCATTAATTCATTTTCCTTGTTGAGCAGGTGAATTTCCACGCCTCATGTGTCAAATTGCACCCTTGACATTATGTGCAGTGAATTTACCTCTATTGGTAAGCTAACTCCTAAATGTTTAGCCTCCTGTCAGTCTTTATCAGCCAACTTCATATTAACTGTTAATCAGTTTATCTCCTTCAATTGTATTCTTAATGGCAAAACATTGTGCCATTTCCCTTTTCTTCAGTCCTAATATGTAGCATTTATTGATCTTGCTGGTATTGTTCCTGTAATAAATCATGTATCTCTTGCATTTATATTAGTTTGCCTCAGAGTTTCAGTTTTGAAATGATGCAGCTAACAATATGTTGTGTAACACATTGGCGTTCTAAAAAGTCTATTGTAGCTGTAGTTGAGAATCATTTGTTTGAAAATTTCAAGTTATCAGAAATGGTAAGATTTTGCAGAAAATCTTCAAAATGTGATTTTCTCCTGTTCACATGGCATAAAAAATTTTTGAGGTCTTATGACTTTTGTTTATAGATAATTGAGTAGGCACTTGATTAATATGTGCTCATGACCATAGTATTTTGTGCCAAAGTCTACACCTGACTACCTTTAACTAACTTTTTACCTACAATTACAGCAACGGTAATACATTTCAATTTGTTTTTTTTTATAGCTTAACAATAATGTTTTCACTAATGTTTTTTCTTTGCACCTTCATCTTTTGATTATCATTTGAATTTGAATATCAGGTTTCTAAAGAAGAGGTAGCAAAGAAGTTTCATGTTAGAAAAGACTGCATCACCCTGAAGAGGAAGCTTGGCATGAAGTCTTCCTCAGCCATCATTGTTCCTCTCTGCTGGTACGAAAGTGATATGTGAGTTGAAAAATCCTAATGAACATATCATGTATATTTGATGTTGTGAGCAACTACAGCAATTTCCAACTTGCCTCTCTGTCCTGCTAAAATATTGGTGTCATATTTACATCTGCTGACAAAGGGTATGTGTTATGTTATGTTATGTTATGTTATGTTATGTTATGTATATGGCCTTGAAGTGTTAATTCTATACGAATGCTAGAATAGACTTCAATTTTCCCAATTACCTTTTCTGATGCCATTACTAATTCATCTAGCTTGGGTTTGAATGTAATGCCTTTTTCAATTCTGCCAGAATTCTAAGCATCAATGATAAGGTTTGATAAATTCATTGCAATATAAGAAGTTTTTCTGCATTAGTGTTGGGAAGACTTTAGATTTGGTTCATACTAGAGTGGTTTTCTTGGAAGTGGAGAAGCATCAAGAGATTGTCTTGATGTCTTACTAGAAAGTGCATTTATTCTGATGTGATGGCTGCAATATCCACTCCAATTTGCTCTTATTTTCAGTAAATTTCCAAATGCAAGGAATTATTGTATTTAGCACCTTTCTTTGTTCTAAATATTACATGTTATTAATACATTGGAGTGCAACAACAGATTTGCCTTGCCTTACTGACTTACTGCATTTGGCTGACCTTTTCTTGTTACTTGTTCTACTTGCACCCTCATTTCACTGATAGGCTTTTCTCAGCCACTTCTGATAATTGCAAACAGGAAAATTATGGAAGTTAGGTAAATTATGAGGTATATAAAAATGAATTTAAGCAAGAAATAGTTATATTCTGGAAGCTATGAGATTCCTTGTATATTGATTCTAAGACACTGATCACAAGGATAGATAATGTTCCAAGATGGCATTAAAAACATTATACTGGGAAACTTTCATTGTTTTACTTGATAAGATGTTCATTTAATTTAAAGTTTATTGCAAATACTTGTTTTTCAGAATTTTGACGGATCATTGTGCAACGTACCCGCAGCCGAAAAAGGAAATAGTTGTAAGGCAATGTTACGACTCGGACACAGCACGACCCTCCTCAGAGCACTACAAGCCTCATGTGCTGTCCAGTGAAGAGTTTGACTTGAGCCCTGCACGCAGTGGACTGCCTACACTTCATGTCATCAATGATGACGTCTTACTTCATATCATGAAATATTTGAATTTTGCTGAAAAACTGATGCTTGAAGCAGGTAAGTTGTGTAAATGAAACCCCTGCTCAGGCTGTTTCTCAGCAGTCATTTTAATCGATCCATTTATTGTTATAACTTGACTTACTTAGACTTGGTATTGAGGGAAGACTGTTTTACATAATACATTTTTATAGAATATGTAAATTTGGATATACAATAACAAAGAGAACCAGGAGCAAACAATTTTAAATGCTGCTGTCAGATGTATCTATTGCAAATTTTTAATGTTTTTTTCTGTTGACTTTTTTTACGTTGTACTACAATCCATTGAACGTAAACCAGTTTTCACTTAAGAATAGAATAGAAGTGTCGGCGTTGAAGAAATAGGCCCATGGCCTGTTGCAGATTCTTGAACTTTTCGTGACTTGATTCACAAGGGATCCGGCCTTTGGAACCCGATCTTTCCATAGCTGACGATAGATTGAGATAGCTGCTGGACTTATTGCCTGGTCCGTGATTTGCTTTCACTTGCTTTCTGTCTGTCTCGAGTTTCCTCTAGACTTCCTGCAGCTAAACAGGAAGGAGCAAGTTATTACATAATGATTAGTATTAGCCATTTTAATAATAATAAGCTATAACAATCTCGCAGTGTGTCGGCGTTTTCAGTCGCTGGTTTACAGCGAACTGGGCCAGAATAGCATCATAGACTTCTTCAATGACACCTGCGCCTGGCGAAGTGCTTGTTCCAACCTCTCCAAAGACCGCAAGTGGGTTGGCTGTCCTTAAATGGAAGTGATATAATGTTAGGTCTTGTTCAGGTTTTATGTCTGTCTTAGAATTTTGATATAATAATATGATTTTATTCATTTTTAGTTTTTCGAACTGATGGTGGAGCTGGACTCCGAAACGTTTTCAATATTGATATGGTGAATTTGCTTGGGGTTTTCTTTGTTTTTAAATTCCGTGTGAACTTGCGATATAAGCAGACTGATAATAAATCGAAGTGATGGTGCTGTTGTATGACTGCCACTACATGCAAGTGATTGTGTTGTGGCACGACTGCCACTACATGGAAGGAATTTTGTTCTTTCATGATGACACACCTCATATTGGACATGTGCCTTTACTGGTCAGAAGTCCTATTGGATTTCACATTTCTGCAGGCATTCCTGGGTGACCCACCACAGAGCTTGCGATATATGACTGTGGCTCTCAGTTATGGGGTTGTCATCACATATGCAGGATCACTAACATTTCTCTATCTCTAGAAATTTAGAAGCGAAGAAAACCACAAAAATTTAGCATATCTCTATTGAAAACGTTTCGGAGACCAGCTCTATCGTCTGTTGTATGCGATTAAAGCAATCTAGTGTCATCATTTCTCTCTCTCTCTCGTGCGGGAGGCCGACGTCCCGTGTGAGTGGCCTCTTGTACGAGTGCCTTGGTTTCTGTTTCTGCTCACTTGTCCCATCATATTTCTTTGTCTCTTTGATATTCTAACTCTGCTTCTCTCTTGCCAGCTTTTGTGGGCTGGCCGCTTAAGACCTCCCGCCTCTTGTAGGTTTATGAACGATTTGTGAAATTCGCGATAATACCTGCTGTATTTTTGAATTCTTATGTGAAACAGCTTAATAACTGAAACGCTTTTTAACCTTTTCACGGGCAAGCTACCATAAATGGTCACCTAAAATTACCCCACAAAGAGACCCACCACGGCTTCCTGTTTGTATTTGAGGCTTGCTTATCATGCCTCAGTCAATCACTAATTATCTGACCATCGATCCGTTCCATGCATAGCATCACCACCTATCATGCCCAAAATTAAAATATGAGCATTAAAATGAAAGTTTTGACTCTGACAATGAAATTGACGTTCTTTCCGAAATTTTGGTAAAAGGTGGAAGTAGTGATACATTTTTAATTGTTTAAGGTAACTTGATTGAATTCAATTAAATTTGATGTTATAAATTTTTCTTAAATTTTCATTTACTTAAACTAAATTCTAATTATAAATAAAATATTTCTTGTCGTGACTGCCTTTAATAAATTCTTTTAGTGGCATTTAAACCTCCTGTACCTCAATGCTTGCCCGTGAAAGGGTTGAATATTCTACTATTTATTTTTCATTAATTGCATTTATTTTTTGATATTCATTAATATACTTTTTTCCTTTATCTTTTTTCATCTGTTATATATAATGCAAGGTTTGGACTTGAGTTTACTTTTAGTAGGATACGATTTCATCCACTCTTTCTCTCGTATGTTTGCTTGACACTAAAGTTGCATTCTTTTGTAATAATAGTGTGTTGGTGTAGCCATGTTTGCTCTGCATTTCAGCAAGTCGCCAGCCCAGCTCACGCAGGACCTCAAGCTTTGCACCTACAAGATGCTTATCATGAACTCTAACCACCTCACAACTCTAAGACTCAATGAGGATACGTGCATCTTTGATGTCAACGTATTTGCTGCTATAGGTACGCACTTAAATTTGTCCCTGCTTCTTCCAAATCAGACCCATAAGCTACAATATTTAGTTACAAATTATGGTTACAAAACCATCACTAAAGTTAAGATTCTTTTTTATTGCAATTCATTTGATTGTTTTATTTGGATAAAAATATGTTAAACTTTCAAAAGTTTAGTTTGTCTACGACTTATGAGTCTGTCTAAACAACTAAAAATGCTGATATTTTTCAATTTTAGGTCGACTTGCTGTGAACTTGGAGGATCTACGATTGGTGTTCTCGGAATCGAGGGAGCACTACACCTCTATGAAGACCATCTTCTCGCTCTGCTCAAAACTTAAAACTTTCAGTCTTACAGTGAGACTCGGATGGCTGAGTTGTCAATGCTGGGTCGTAGCAATAGTGCATTGTCCAAATATATCAATATCATATCATCTTTAGCTTGTGTTGATCTGCTTGTGTCGGTCTGCTTTTTTGTTTCTTAAATGTTTTTTTAAGTTGATCTGCTGACAGTTTGGGGGCTTCTGCATAAAATGATTTATTTATTTCTCTCTTTTTATGGCATAAACTACTGCAATATTTTATCGAAGAAATTTGTTCTAATTGCTGAAGAATTAGGTTGCTAAAATTAGGTTGCGACTCTTCGAATTTTAAATTAATGAAAGAATATTTTTACAGGGCAGATTCAGTCCTGACGAATTGCTTCGAGACTTGAAGGAATGCAAATGCCTTGAGGTGTTGCGGCTATGCGGACTGAAGAAGTTTAACATCAATGGTCTACTGATGATACAAGCTCCTCTGCGAGAAATCGGGATCCACAACGTTGCCTCAATCGGCTCATGGTTCTCAGGATGGTCCTCAGGAGCAAATAGAAACTTTCCGGACTTCCAATTCAACTCTCGCCTCACGACATTCCGCATGTTTTACGACGACCCGCCAAGATTGAGGCAAGAGTCAAATGTCAGGTAGCAGGTTCAGAAAAAACGGACTGAAGGAAAAACAGGGTAGAGGAACGTAACTAGCAGTTGGCATGGATGAAAGTTCAGTTGTTGATACTCCTCATGAATGACTCGGATGATGAGCAAGCTTGCGGTTTAAACTGAATATATTACGTGATGGGTTGAATATCTAGAGCAAGGTTGATCTGAATGGAAGTTCTATCTTTAATCAGATATATTCTTTATAATGCATAAAGGCAGTTTCTCTGGCAATAAATTTTAGTGTATATCATAGAATAGAAGTGTCGACACTGAATAAATAGATCCGTGGCCTGTTGCCGATTCTTGTACTTTTCGTGACTTGATTCACAGGAGATCTAAAGACCGGCCTTTTTACCAGAAATTTTCTTACCTTACGTTGGTTTGAGATAGCAACTGTACTTATCACCAGGTCCGTAGGTTGCTAGGCATTTCAGGTCTGAACATATATTTTCCATAGCTTTGTCTAATCTGTTCTTGAAAGCGTTCATACTCGTAGCGTCAACGATGTAATCGGGGAGGCTGTTCCACATGTCGGTGATTCGAAGCGAGAAGAAATGTTGTCGCGTGGAGAAGTTGCAGCGCAGTTATTGTAGTTTATTGCCGTGACCCTGGTGTTGGTTCTTGTTTCAAATTCTATGACTCCTTTTGGGACTTTGTATGGGTTTGATTGGTTTGATTTGTAAAATGAGGCAAATTGATTTTAATTTTGATATTATTGCAACAATGATCAATGAATGACAGAAATACATGTGTGTGCTAGCATCATTTCTAAATTGTTTTGAAAATGCTCCTAGTATATATTAGTTCATGTTTCCTAAATTGTTCCTTGCTCTGAAGATGAGTAAAGTTTAATCAAGCATTTAATTTCCATGGGTAAATCAGCACGAAAATTATTTGAATGATCTTTCTTGTAGTTGACGTGCAATCTGATGTTGTGTTTACTGTGCAAACTTGGCGTGCAGGGGAATTTCGCAGTGGGCACGTCTTTTCTCCATGGCACGCAAGTGTCCTGCGCTGACCCAACTCCAACTTCGTTTCTGGTGCTTATCTGGGCCTCCCAATTTCAAGTCATTCAAAAACTTGAAGGTAGGAAATTATCGCAAGATTACAAGACTTTATTGGCAGAGACTCTTGAGTGGAATACTGTCTGATACGTGATTACTAAGATTCGTCTGCTAAGTCGAAATCACGAATGCTGATCAACTATTCCTCTTATGTAATTGTTAGTTTATCCTTTTATGGTTTATTTGTGTGGCAAAACAGCTTTTTGTTTTCCCAGGTGCTACATTTTATTGCAAGTCGCCACGAAAATATTGATGATCTTCTCAAGAGCGCTCTGCCTGACCTCGAAGACTTCCACATCGAGTTTTTAGAAGAATGTGTGAGTTGCGAGTCCAAGTAGGACTGAAATTGCTAACGAACTGAATTAAGGACCTTTCAGTTAAAAACCTAATTGATATTTTCTTTTGACTATATTCACTTTCATTGAAGATTTCAGATATCTCAACTTCATGGGTTGCCTCTCAGATTTCTTTTCCATATGAACGTGTTCTAACTTTGATATTCCCTTTTATGTTTTTATGTGATATATGAATAATTTTTTCTTGTTTAAACCATTTGCTTTCAAGGTTTAGTAACAGAAGCTGCTAACTGCTCAACATCACTATTAAAATTCTTGAAGTTTGCACACCGTTTCCCTGGGACGGAAAACTTCACGGGTGAACCGGACATAATTTTAGGGAACCTTAATCTCAATTATTTAGCATATCCTCGATCGAGGACGTGTAAATGAGTCTAGGCAAGTTAGTTTCCTTATGATTTCGTAATGATGAAGTGTTCGTGGGAACATCAACTAGCTTTGAATAGCATGAACTATCAATTTTTATTACAGTAATCCTTCACTATCACCGGTGTTACGTTCCAGCTCCGGCCGCGATGGTGAAATCCACGATGGGGAATTGAAGTATTAATATTGCAATTGTTTGTAAGTTCCCATTGTCTTAAGTGTTAATGAACCACACATCATAACTGCCGATCAATTTCCGTGGGCTGTTAAAATCTGCCGATTGACTTCTTCAGAAACCCGCAAACCAGCGATGATTGGGAATTGAACCCTGGGACGGAAAACTTCACGGGTGAACCGGACATAATTTTAGGGAACCTTAATCTCAATTATTTAGCATATCCTCGATCGAGGACGTGTAAATAAGTCTAGGCAAGTTAGTTTCCTTCAGAATTGCTTAGGGTGCAATGGTTTTCGTGCACGCAATTGGAAATTTATCATGAAACGGCCTGCAATGGTGATTCCTCTCGACTAGAGGCAAGACAGAAGTTTTTTGTCCGGATGTCGTTATTGGACTTGCAGTGCATCAATCATTTGCGCAAATAGTACTATTCACCTTGAAAATACAGGCTTATCAGTCATTTTGACACTAATGCTATTATTCCTTCAGGAGATTTGTGCTCTAAACGGCCCTGTTCAGTCTTCCACTGGTGTAAAAATCTTGAACCTGATGAATTCTGAAAAATCCTATTAGCCCCAAATGGCCTAGTAACTTGCGTTATTAGGCCTTTTGGTGTTAAACAAAGCTGACGAATGATTATGTAGTGGTTGACAAAGTGTTTTAAAGACTGGTAACTCTCGTCATTAGTCCTGCAGGCACAAATAACATTGATTACGGTCAATGAATCCGCAGACAAATGGTTGTGCCTATAAAATTATTCAGGCCTGTTTCATTAGATTGAAAAAAATTTCCATTCTTTACTAACACTCATCGGCACCCTATAAAAGTATCATATATCATTTCACGCAAACAACGCTGTTTCGTTTAGGACAGTGCAATAGTTTGATTTCGTATGAGAAAGACGGTATTAAATGAAGTTTCCGTATTGCACGTTATGAAACTTAGCTTGATGAGGGTTTGATGTCGTTTAACTTTATTGAAATATTTTAGATGTCCATCCAAACATTTCGTTCATGACATAAAGTCTTGAATACTTAGTTTGGCTGCTAGTTAATTGCTTTCCATTTTTATCTTCTGAAAATATTTATTTTTCTCCTCAAAAGGGCGCTGAGGAAAAAGTCCTCAGTGTTGACTTTTCGCTGGCGCCGCCGTCAGTGAAGTCCCTGACGCTCAGTGTAGTCCGGGATGGTCTAGACGATGGCTCGTACAAGAGCATCATACGAATGCCCAACCTGCAGCGAGTCTTTGTCAACAGCGAGAAATTCTCGGTGGCTCAGCTGAAACTGTGAGGCTATCTCTTGTCCTTGCATATTTGTGTGAACTCTAATGCAGGAGTGGTTAGTTACTTAGCGGCCACGTTTTTCGTTGTTCAGCCTTCAAATGAGATGGGTGATCAATGGACATACCTGTAACACGCACACACAGAATTATAAAACGATGGTCTTCAAAGTAAAATTCGTGAATAATAAATAGAAATAGATTGGGCAATGAAAAGATTTTATCGTGTGTATTTATATCATAAAACTATTTGTAAAACACAAAACACCGTTTAGAGCACACTCCATTGCTGTTTCTCGAAATGTAAATTCTAGCTTTTCAGATTCGTGAGATTTTCATGCATTTCCTCGCAACTATTTTCAAATGGTATTCTCGCTCTTTCAAAATTAGTCACGCAAATCATGCCAAGATTTAATTTCATTTTCCAGTCGCGGTTCGTTCTACTTTCACACATGCTACTTCAGTACTTTTATCGTGTCCAGATAAAGCTGTCACCGACCAAATTGTTTCCCCACACTCTTCAAATTTGCCCGCCTGTGACAAGCTTTACCTGGCCGGTACCCACCGTGCCGCTGCCCCAAACAACCCCCTAATGTGTGGTGCCCTGCAGGCTCGTGGCCCACGTTCAGCTGGTCGAGATCAGCGCCCCTGAGGTGACCGTGGATCTCGCCACGGCCCAGGAGCTCGCTGAGCTGCGCAGGAAGGCGCTGGCCGAGAGCAGGTTCAGTTTCCCCTCACAGTGTCTCGACCACGACGAGCCCCTCGTGCTGCAGGTCAACTACACCCACCACGCGACCTTCGCAGATCCTCTCGTAATAATCAAGAGTTTGTGCTTACATGCATAAATACGATGTTATCATTTTTATTTAAATAGCGATGAGCTATTATATAGTTTATAGCTTTACAGTACGAAGCTGTTAACGATGAAATTACTGCGGTTGTCGCGTGAATTGTTCGCTTAGATCACGCTTAGTTTTGGCAGTTTTGACTCTGAAGCATCAGGTCGATCATAATTCGTTTAGTCAGCCCCATTCTTGGATAAATTAACCTTTAATCGTGTCAGTTGTCAGGCCTTGAATCATCTGTCGATCTTGCTCTATAATTTCTCCTGTAGAGCGTTTAAGAGTTTCTTACAATTAACAGTATTGGCGGTTTTGAACATCATCATCAATATCATTGTATTTTGTGCCTTAATCAAGACGATACTCTGAACTAACTCCAACGTTCTATGTGTGCAACTCCGACTCGAACGCTTCTTAGTACTTCACAGGCACCGCAAGTCAGACTTGTATTCTATAGTCCTCCTCAGTAGTTAGTTATGCACCTAATCTTAAGTGTATCTAGTTATAGCTTTAACTGCAATTACGTGGACACGTGTTGTTTTACCTATTTTTTTTCTTTGCGTTATTCACCTAGCAATATTTATTGCAACTTTTTTCCCCTCTCTTCGGAGAAACAATAGCAGTTTTGTTAATTTTACGTTATTTCAACCAAAATTTATTAATCTAAAGATATTTTTGCACATTTCTCCCAGTTGACGAGCTCCTCTTGTCATGTCATCCAATAGACATGTACATGTATCAACAATTTAGGTTCATGTATTCAACCTTCTTGTTTGAACTTTTAACCGACGGCCCCATGGTATGACGGCCAAGGTTGTGTTCTTCTCCTTGAGCCGCCTTCAAGTCGTCGTACGAGTTTGTAACTATGCTAACATTTATTGAGTTGAATCCTCTAAAACATACTAAGCACTTCTGAAGATGAGGTGAACGCGGCCCATCATTGCGTAAATATCAAGTGCTCAACTTTGTCGTTAATCACAACCAGAGGTGGGCAGTAACGCGCTACATGTAGCGGTGGCGGCGCTACATTTAAACAATTGTAGCGGTAGCGCCCGCTACATTCAGAGTATGTAGCGGTAGCGGACGCTACATCTAGAGCATGTAGCGGTAGCGGCCGCTACATTTAGAGCATGTAGCGGTAGCGGCCGCTACATTTCAAAGTAGCGCTGCCCAGCTCTGATCACGATTCGCCTACGCCTACGCGACCAAATTATGCACGGGACCGGATTATATTTGACCAATAATGGAGGTTGAGCAGCTCGAGACACCACATATGGTTTTCTTGAAATTAAAACTTTAGTGGAGTATTGTATTTTCTATAAGGTATTTAAGACAGTAGCGCTTCATGCATTGCGAAGCAAGTATCCAAACCTCTTCTACCGTCACCTTTGGCTGTAATTTAAGTTTTTTGCTCAAACTTCCATGATTATCTCACCGTTCTAACGATTATCTCAGGACGGTTCTCCTTCAAAACAGTGCAGAATAAATAGCTTCTATTTTCAAAATTAAACAGAAATATTTCCTGGGCTTTCCTGTAAATTCGTTCAAAACTTTCCAGTGAATAAAAAGCAAAGCTTCTAGTTTACTGAAAGAGTTACCATTAATACTGAACAAACTCATACAGTATAAATTTACAGCAATATAAACGATCTATAATTATAAACATCGTGTTTGTATTCTCGAGATTATACGTTACAATGTCTTCATAGTGTAACCATCAATAAAGATTTGAAGTGAAAAAAATATTTTATTTCCTTAATTGACAAGTCTGAGTTCTCCTTAGAAAGTCAATAATCTCGGCGCGGAGGCACCGGAGAGAAACTCGCCGTTTCCTTGGGACGAAGAAAATTACAATTCCAAAGCGTCAATATAAATGCAGGATACTCAAAGTCATAATACTTGTAGAATTCTACAAAAAAAAACTGGACACATCATCACCTTCCTCCAAGCGAGGCGTTGTGATGTAGACGTCTGACACATACACACGTAAGCTCGTGCGATTATTGGATGAAAGAAATAACTCTCCCAAACATCAAAAAATCACGAGCTGGCAAGCATAACATGCTTCCATAGAATTGCCACGAAGGCAATTCTGCAGGTCGACGCTGAACAAAATACGGCCAGCTTAAGCGGGCCAGTCGTGCGGGACAACGCAACCTAAATAAAGTAGCAATCAAATTGAAAGTTAAAAAATTGAAAAATCATTTCCGAACGTAAGACATGAGGAAGCATGAATTTGATGAATAATAATTAAACGACGTTTCTTAAGGCAAATTTCGAACATTTCCTGGATAGGTTGTTCAAAACATTTTGTGGCTAGGCCGAGAGTCAATACGGTGGCCCAAATTGTGTAAGGCTTCCAAAGCACTACAGATATTGGATTTATTTCAATTATTTGGGTTGCAATCACTACCATGTATATTTAAAAACAACAAGAAATGATTAACACTGCAACCGAGACCTAAAAATTATGTCATTGTTGTTAAAGCGTTACGTTAGAAATTATTACTGTAAATGTATAAATGGTAACACTTGCATCCAGCTAAATAATGTGATGCAGCGGACCCAAATGAGATAAAATCCGTAGACCAAAAGCTCATCGATGTAACAAGGGCAAGAATAGTGTTCCGCCAAAACACGGTATAGCAAGACTCCACAAGGCGCGATTTTACAGGCAACGCTATGCCACCAGCTTTCATTATTGTCGCTGTCCATGAGCCTTCATTATTGTGGCTGTCCATAAGCGTTCATTATTGTCGCTGTCCACAAGCCTCCATTATTGTGGCTGTCCATAAGCGTTCATTATTGTTGCTGTCCACGAGCCTCCATTATTGTGGCTGTCCATAAGCCTTCATTATTATTGCTGTCCACGAGCCTCCATTATTGTAGCTGTCCATGAGCGTTCATTATTATGGCTGTTCTGCCTGTTCACGAGCCTTCATTATTGTGGCTGTCCATAAGCGTTCATTATTATGGCTGTTCACGAGCCTTCATTATTGTCGCATTCCACGTGCCCGGTTTTCCGTATCAAGTCTGTGTCGGAACTCAACGTCCCTACCCAGGACGCTGTAGTAAAATATTGGATGCAGTAATATTTCACAGAATAAAACAATGCCCTACACAGCATGGCATGCTAATATTGGATGCAGTAATATTTCACAGAATAAAACAATGCCCTACACNAGTCGGTGATTAAACACCAGCTGAGCAAAAGTTTCAAATGGACTAGAACGAAAATAAAATGTTGCTTAAACTTTAAGAATCTAATTTTGAGATGTGTAGAACAAAGAGGGAGGTGACAAATTCCAAATAATAGACTCTATTCCTAGTAATTAATAGTTTCAACCTTAAACTGAGGTTGAGACACGAGTTTTTATCGCTTCAAAACTGAAGTTGAGAGAGACAAATCAAATGGAGTGCTCCTCAAAGAAAGTCAAAATTTGAACTTTAGACAACCAGTAATTTCGACTAGCAGAAAAAGACGACGAATGACAACTTTTCAATTAAAGTGAATGAACGAGTCTCGGGAAATTAATTTATGATCACACTTAGCTCCTCGTGCTGATCACAATGAGGATCCGTGTTCTTTAGGCTCACAAGAATTCGCTACATTCGTGTTGCCGAGGGGATGATGATGTGTTGGGGAATTGAAAAGATGTTTGGGGATGATGAAATCATTTTTCAAGATGATAATGCATCTTGCCATAGAGCAAAAACTGTGAAAACATTCCTTGAAAAAATACACGTAAGGTCAATGTCATGGCCTGGAAATAGTCCGGATCTTAATCCAATTAAAAATCTTTGATGGAAGTTGAAGAAAATGGTCCATGACAAGGCTCCAACCTCCAAAGCTAATCTGGCAACATCAATCAGAGAAAGTTGGAGGCAGATTGATGAAGAGTACTGTTTGTCACTCATTAAGTCCATGCCTCAGAGACTGCAAGCTGTTATAAAAACCAGAGGTGGTGCAACAAAATACTAGTGATGTGTTGGAGCGTTCTTTTGTTTTTCATGATTCCATAATTTTTTCCTCAGAATTGAGTGATTCCATATTTTTTTGCCCTCTGCTTGGTCTAAAAAAATAACCGTTACTGACTGCACAATTTTTTTTCTTGATTTCTTATAGTGTTTCTTAAAGCCAGAAATTTGACATTGGAAATTACTTTAGTTTTGTGTCATGTCTGTGATCTGCTTTTTTTCTACTAAGTTAAACAACTGAATGAACATCCTCCGAGGCCGGTGATTCCAGAATTTTTGCCAGGGGTTGTACATCGAAGTGTGTTATTGTCAAAAATTCTTAAACGAGCTTAAAATTTCTTTCAAAATTTCTTAGCTGACCATAAGTAAGAAAAATTCCTATATGTAAAAATATAATTTATCGAAATTCCATTCTTTGGTTGATTCAAATTTAGCGCAACTTATCGCAAGAAATGTCTTTCTAAACTCGTTTTCTTAGCTCCTTTAAAATTTATGGGAATTTGCTTGCGTTTGCGTTATTCAGTTATTCATGTCAAGTATGCATACTGTGATGAGCTGGAAAAAACATTGAACCATCGGCTCGCCCTGCTGATAAAAAAAAGGAAAATCAATATCAAATTTTACTAGAAATGAGATCTCACAATATCGTTTGTGTAAAATAATTCACTAAATATTCGAAAACAATTTTACATGGATGTTTTAATCCTGCGATTGAATGCCATCGCATCCAAGTTTTCATTTTTCTCCAAGTAAAAAATATGCAGTCAGCCGGAAAGTTTAAAACTTGGAAATCTGATTAAAAATTGCTGCAAAGTTTTCTGGTTACTTGAAGTACTTTTCAGAAACAACTCAAATTATCAATTTCAATAGAGACCGAATCCGTCAGGTCCTTATTTTCACTAACGTCACTTCAGGTTCTGAGATATTTCTTACCAACTCGCTGAACTAGAAAAAATATAACTCAGAACTCACTGCAGTGAGAGACAGAGAGCGCATTTTCTCATCGATGAAAACGTGAAGTCACGGGCAGACGGACGGACATGACGATCACAATAGCGCTATTTTTGCAATAAATGAAAAAATGCGCTACAAATCGACTCGACGCATCGCTTATGTATCGCTTATGTATGTAATCGCTTATGTATTATGATTTGATCTTTTTAATAACTCGATGTAGGAGCTCAAAGACATGGCCACGGCGTTCGTGGTGAGTGATACCCGAGCGACAGTGATGGGACGATTGGTCTATGAGTATTTTCTATTCATATGGAGACGTGGTATTCACTTCCATTAGATTTTGCTATGAAGGCTCAAATTTCACCTTAATTCTTCTTATTCGCAACGAATAGTTGAATAAATAAAACCAAATTTCATCCTGCATGCCAGGAAAAAATTCTTACGAATGAGTTTACCTGTGCGATAAGTTTCCCCGATTATTCCAACCACTACCCTTGAATAAAAAAGATCGTGTACTTTTGCTGAAGCTTTTTGTCCGGCCGTTTGCAAAGAAAAATTCATCTTGATGAAGTTTCCTCTGATACTAAAAAGGGAAGAAGGAACACCAACCCGGAGCGGGAGAAAAAGATCGACTCCATACTTTTTTCCGCGTCAGCGGAAGAAACGGGAATATCCGCAACGGCGCCTCCGACTCGACTTGTGGCGATGGTATAGCCTACTGCAGCTTTAACAATAACATCGTGCAAAATCTTGTGTTGCTGCGCCCCTAGGTGACATCTTAGAACTTACTTATCATTAAGGAATATTAACATTGAGCTTATAATCTCTAGTAGTCTGTATGTTGCAGTAGTATGACGAGTTCTGTATTATTTTTTATCGCAGAAGTAAGAACTTAAGTTGAGCGAGAATAATGTGGAAGAGTTTGCGCGCTAGCAGCAATGGTTTGGAGATACTATTGATTTTGACTTCTAGCTGGGAGAATGTACGCGTTAAACAGACGAGAATGGTAGCACTGGTTAGAAGAAGTTCTTATAACTACCACGCCGATTCTAGATTGACAAAGCTGTACGTATTTAGCCATTAAAATTAGATTG